TGTGTATATGTATGCGTGAGATATATTGATGTGGTATAAACATGACACATCACTACACACTACTACATCAATATCGCACGCATACATACTCACAAATTGTCGGTAAAACAGCGGATTTTTAGAGTTTGATCTAGGGTTTAGCATCCTCTTAAGCGAGGATGCGAACCCGCGTGGGTCGATGAGGCCGGCCTGCGAGCGCCCGCGATCGATAAGGTGGAACACGCGTTTTCCGACCTGACGTCACGGAGTACGGACACACAGTCGCGTGTCCTCGTGGATTACGGACGAGCCTTGTGGTGTGGGTTCGCGTCCTCCGTTATCCGCGACATAGCGCGCACCAGCGCGCACTTCCCCCTCGTACGCTTCTTGCTGCGTTCGTTACGTTTTCCCGCACGCGAATGCATCGTCACTGTGAGTGACCCCCGAGAGCGAGGCGCCCGGAGCGCGTACCAGCTTTCGCCACGCGTCCCAGAATTACGTCGTGACGCGCGCTGACGACACGTCAAAAATGGCAGATTCTGCGCCCAGCAAGGCCGACATCGAGGAGATCTTCAAGAGGCTGCGGGCCTTCCCGACGAACAAGGTTTGTCGAGCGCGAACGTTGAGCGCGATCGACGCGAGGATCGACGGCGAACGCAAATCGGGAAATGGTCGACGCGTCCGCGCCAGACGACGAGATCTCACGAGCGTCGTGCTGTCAAGCTGTCAGCTTCCTTGTGAAGTCTAGTTTCCAGTCGTGCGTTTACGTGCTTCAATTTTTTGAATTTTGCGATTTCTAATATTTTTGAAGCCCAATATTCATCTCGAACGACTCATTTTCACGATTTCCCTGATCAATAATGCCCAACATAAGTCCTGCAAACCTTTATTTACTAATCTATTATTGATCCGATAATCCATTTGGTCTGCAACCTTTTTGAAAAAAAAGTGATCCTTTCTTCGAAAGGCACAGCAGGACATAGCAGACACAAAAGAGGACTTGTATTACTTATGTAAATGGATTCCACATTACATACCGACTTATTTTTATCTTTTCTTGCAATTTCAAATTTTTTGTTGCGTGAAAAAGACTACCGATTATTACTTATTGTTAGTATTGATTAGGACACGCCGTGCTATTGATTATTATTTTAACAAAGTTCTGCCCTTTGTAATAAATACTTTGAGTTTCTCGTTTCACTTGTAGTAAATATGTTTATGATTTAACATCATTATGTGTATTATTGCTTAATTTTCATATCCTTGCGTCTCCTCTTCAGAGGTCTGGCAAACCACCGAGAGTATCCTTTGCCTTGAATATCTCTCTCAAACTGCCGTTCGGATTCGGCTTTAAATTGTAGGTTCCATATACCTGTGTACACTTGCTCACTAAAAGGTTGCGACACTTTTTTTTTATAGGTTTCTAATTTATATTTAATATACGTAATATATACTTTATAGATAATTAATATTTTGCAAACGCAAACCACGATGTACTGTCTTTAGTCTAGAAGCAGTATAACACCAATCGTGGTCCGCATTTGCAAAATATTAGTGCATTTTGAAACCTATAAAAAAGAAAGTGTCGCAACCTTTTAGTGAGCAAGTGTACAATCAACATGCGCACCACAGGTATATGAAGAGAGTGGTAGTCCCTGGCTCGATATGAGCTGTAGCGCCAATGGATGATGATGATGATGATGATGTGTATTATTGCTTAGATAATACCTAATTTGAGTTTTTTTTGTTATATCTATTCTTTAATATATTTACGTTGCATCTTATACTGTATATATGTATATATATGAACTATAATTAGAAAGTGTAATTCTTTTCTCTTTCTCTTTTAGTCATGTTTCGATTGCAACGCAAAGAATCCGGCGTGGGCCAGCGTAACGTACGGCGTCTTCTTGTGCATCGACTGCTCGGCGGTGCACCGCAGTCTGGGAGTGCATCTCACCTTCGTCAGGTCCACCCAACTTGACACAAACTGGACATGGCTGCAGCTAAGGAACATGCAGCTGGGCGGTAATGCCAATGCTGTTAGTTTCGATGTCTTGTAACATCAATAATATCGTTTCCTCGCTGAGAAAATGTTCGATAACCAAATCATCTCACACATGTCTCGCGTTATTATTGCCCGCAGAGAAAATTCTTCGTGCAACACAACTGCACCTCGACCGATGCCCAGCAGAAGTACAACTCGCGCGCGGCTATGCTGTACAGGGAGAAATTGGGCCAGGCCGCTGCGCAAGCGATGCGTCGTTACGGCACAAAGGTAAATTCACGTAGGATTATTCGAATATTAGGATACTCGTAGATATTAGATCGTCAAAGATCCGTCCTAACTATGAACTATATAATAATTATAGGTTTCCCTTCCTACGTCAAAAAATAAAACAATGGTGAGCTGAGTAAATATTTCGAGAGAAATCGGTTCCCTCTTTTTCATTTTTTTTTTCGCAATTTTACTAACATCCGCTTATGACGTCTTGTGCCAAAGCTTTCTACTACTTGTAAAACTTACATGTGTCCTTGTCACGCAATCGATATCAGCGCACCAGTTCTCCGTGCGTGATCATCCACAATTGTACAAATATATGTTTGTTTACAAAAAAATGCTATCCATCTTTATGATTACTACATAACAAATCGTCATCAAGACACTGTCCGACATACCTGTGTATTTTCAAGTTGTGTTTTAATAAGATTTATTCCAATATGTACCATAATATTTGTTTGTTCCTTTTGGCTGTTGTATTTAATAATCTGTACAAGATGTTTCTAAAATATCTGAACAAACTTTACCAGTGTATTCTATTAATAATTCAGAAAAAAAAACAACGTTGTGAACACAGATTCACAAATGCAATTTTTTTTCTCGAAATTGTCGACATTGAAAGTTGTAAATTAGCGAAAAGATTTTATCATAAATCATTAAATGTTAGCGTTGGATGCTTTAATCAATATAAGCAAAAGCCTGAATAGTCAATAATGTGAATAATGATAAGCATGTGACAGTATCATGCAAATGTGCACTAATAAAGGTAAAGTTTGGCCAAATATTTTAAGAACATTTTTAAGTCTGATCGTTCTTTTGCAGCTGCATTTAGAGGAAAGCACAGAAACGGAAGAAATGAACGAGCCGGATTTTTTCAAGCAGCACGAGAATTTAGATTCGCTTCAGAATGAAATGATAATTCCGACGGAAGAGAAGGCATTCCTCACATCTAATACAGTGCCAAGCAATGACAGCACAGAGAAGAGTGCACCGGAGGTCGCTTCCAATTCCATGGGACCTTCAGTAAAGCTTTTCGATTCTACCTCAAACAATCTGCAGTCTGAAAGGAAACCTACCATAGGCGGCAGAACAGCTCAATCTAAACGTCCTGGTGGAGTAAGTTTTGATGAATCACATATAATAAAACGACTCCAACGAAAATTGCAACGTGTTGCAATTATTGTCCCCTTAATTGCAGCTAGGAAAAAAAACCGGAAGCTTGGGTGCTCAAAGAGTTAAAACCAATTTCGACGAACTGGAGAAAAGTGTCGCAGAGGCGCACAAGTTGGCACAAGAAAAGAATAAAGAAATATCGAAGGAGGAGCAGGAGGAGCTCGCCACTCGTCTAGCCCAGCGATACGAACAAAATTTGAGTCAGCAAGCGAAGAAAATGGAGGAAAGAACGAAGCATCTGGATCCGATGAAGGCCACGCAGGCGGAACGTCTTGGAATGGGATTTAATGCACGAAGGTAATAAATTCTCTTTTTCTCCCTCCCTCCCCCCTCTCACTTTCACTCATTTGCAAGATTTGTTTGACAGAGTTTATTTGGAATTTATCTTTTTTCCTCCCCTTTTTTTTTAGTGGTGCGACTCATTCTGCACTTGGCGACATGAAGACAATAACGCAGGAATCGAAAGGGGTCATAACGTCAGCGGAGGTGATCTCGGGAGAAACGGACTCTTTCTTTACCTTAGACGAATTTTATTCGGTTTACGCTAACAGCAAGCCGTCCTCGCGCAGCGAGGAAATTGTGGTCGTGGCAGAACCGGAACCGCCGAAACGATTGGGTCCCTCCACTCGAAGCGTATTTACCAAGAGCGACGCGAGAGCGTCCTCGTCCACCGTCGAAGGAGAGGCTCAGAAGAAGTTCGGTAGCGCAAAGGCTATCAGTTCGGAGCAATACTTTCAAGACAGCTCTTCCGACAATGCGGTAAGCGCAAATTACAAGTGTAACTTAGCTAGGAAGAAAAAAGTCTCTGACTAAGATTACATTTTATTGGCACGCAGAAGCACTTCTTGTCTTAAAATTATCCTTCGACATCTGTGTTTTCTAGTGGGAACGTAAGAATAATTTACGCCGTTTCGAGGGCTCGTCCAGCATCTCGTCGGCCGATTACTTCGGCACCGAAAACTCACCAACCTCGCCCACATCCTCGCTATCCATGCGCCTGACTGCCGGACGGGCCGGTGTCGTAGACCTCGACGACGTGCGAGAGAGCGTGCGTCAGGGTGTAAACAAGGTTGCTGGTAGGCTCAGTTCGCTCGCGAACGCGGCGGTATCTTCTATACAGGATCGTTACGGACTCTAATTAAAATCTATCGCATCTCACGAGAACTGTTACAAATACTTATTCGGACCCGCTCTCGTCCATTGTTCAGAAATTGTAAATAAAAGCTTCTAATTGAGCTTCCGCGTAACTTATTCTTCGGATGTGTTGCGCACGGATATATATACCTACGTATATATATATTCGTACTGTTGTGAACGATGAACCGGTGAACGGAGTGCAATGTAAAAGTTACGCAGAGTCGAGAGTGAAAATATAAATACAATGTATTTTATAAATACTTCTGCTTCATCTCCTTGTAACAGAGCCAGTACATATTGCGTGATAAATATTGCACAACAAATATTCTCTATATCAAAAGTCGTATATATCAAATCAGCGAGAGACTGAAAGTAAAATGCCCGTAATAATTTAGATAAAACACATGATTGAAATATCGCTACAGTTTAGAATATTTATTAGTCTATACTCGGCGGTGGGTTTTGGCAGCGCGAAATCAATCGCGAACACGGCTGGCCGTGGAGGAAACACACGAGTATCACCGTCATGTTGTCGCAGCCGGTGCCCATGAGGGCGTCCGGCGCCAGGCAACAGTTCAGAAGCTCCTCGCAGATCTCCTCGGGGTGTATCGTCTGGCTCGACGTTTCTCCGTCGCCGGAGAATCTCGGGTGCCCCAAGCGCGCTCTCACGAATTGAACCACCTCCTCGCTGGTCATCACGTCCCAGATGCCGTCGCACGCCAAGACGACGAACTCCCAGTTCTCGTCGACGGTAAACTGTTGTACCTCGGGAAACGCTACGGGGATTTTTTCTTTTTAGAATCTTTCAATCGCGAAGGGATTCCGATCGAGAGCCATCCATCTCGAGTTCGGTATAACTCGTCACACGTACCGGTCACGATCTGCTCCTGCGGTGGCTTGTGGTCGTTCCGCTTGAATATGAAGTCCCCGAGAGCGCGGGACAGCGCCAGATTGCCGTTCACCCTCTTGTACTCGACGAAACCGCCCGCCGCCTCGATGCGCTTACGCTCCTCCTTCAACGTGGGCTTGTGGTCTCGGCTGAGCGGCACCGCCCGGCCGCTGACGCACGCCACCGCTCTGCTGTCACCTGCATTAGCCTGCAAAGCTGCTTTTGTTACTGGTCAGGGATTCGGACTGGTCAAGGTGGTGCCGTGGCCAACGTCGTCCGAAACGAGACGAGACGAATCGACTTACGCTGTACAAAATGTTATCCTTGACGAGGAGCGAGATGACGGTCGTCCCGGCGTGCTCGTCCCTGAGCGCGGCGTTATTCTGCATCGCCTTGTCCAACTCCAGGAAGCCTTGTTGCATCGCATTCACGATATCACCCTCCTTGTACTCGCTCCTTCTGGTTATGTACTCGTGAAGGTGCTTCCCAGCGTGCTGCGCCATGGCTGCACCTGCAAGCGTGCGCAAATGTTAGATATACTGTATTTCTTATCGATACGCGCAGTGCATTTGAAAATTTACTTGCCGCTGTCGCTTAATAAATTTATTTATTCCACACCCGGTATATTTACCCCCGTGTCCGTCGTAGACGGCGAAGAACGCCGTGCCCGGGTCACTGGGCAGGGAGAGTATGTGCACGTGCGAATCTTCCATCTTGATGCGCCAGCCCTGCATGCAGGAGCTGCCTACCCGGTAATTGCTGTCCCGGCAGCAGGCCGACTGCTTCTTCGTTATCGGCTCGCTGAGCGTTTGCCCCATTTTCTCCCCCTTCAAATCGATACGTCCGTTCGCGAATCAACGCACGATTTGAATGCGACGATTACTGATGATCGGTATCGACGACGGGCCGACGAGCGAGAGAGTCAGAATTAAGACGAATCCGAAGGCGTGATATTTATAAATTATCTATTCGCAGAATTTTACTCAAACACGTCATCTTACTCGTCAACGTCGACGTGTCTTAAGGACCCCGTGTATTAAACGCGCTCCACTCCGCTATTCCGGATTTCACATAACAGCTCCCCGATACAGAAACGCGCCGGGACGCGCGTGGTGTGCGGCCAATTTGTCGTCAGCTCCACCCTGTATTGCACTCCGTGCTTTCCATTCGGCCATGGGAAACAATGCGCGTAGCGTCGAAATCGGATCAGGCGGACATCGATCAACACGTCAAACCGGAGCCAAACAGCTGATCTGGGTTGATGACGTCACGGCGCCGTTCGTCTTTTCGGACCTGTCATGACGTCATTTGGCAGGCGGATATTTTCGATGTGAGTTTCGGAACTCAATTACAGAAAGAAACTGGACTAACTGGAGTCGTGTTTTATTCAATGAGTCTTGGAACACGCATTTGTGAGAACATGGGACTCGTGGAAGAAGGGAGCAAGGATTGATATGAAAAAAAAAAAAAAAAACAAATGTAAGATTTAGAAATACGACTGGAATCATTAGCGATTAATTAGTAACTTAATTATTAGTCTTATCGATTAGTATAATTTATTAATTACGTAATGGTCGATTATATTGTATCGTATCGTTAGACCCTTGAACTTAACCTGACTTTCACCGTGCGAAATATTTATGTAAATACTCCCCTCAAAAGTTTGCAAGGGCGAACTTAATTTGTAAATTAATCTTCTTGAAAAGAACGTTATTTTCTATGCCCGTAGAAAATAAGTGATGATATTTATATCGTTCATTTCTATATAATGAAATATAATGTTTAACAAAATAATCTCAGTTGATATATTATCTAAATGTTGAAAGTTTAATGTCCACGATATTATTTATTGTTAGACATAAAACATTTGTAACGTAAAAAATGATATGAATTTGAATAAATCAATTTTATAGACTACAGCTTCTACATTTACATCAGCCCAAATATCCTTTTCATGTGACACATGAATTAAATTATAAATAATCTTAATAAATTGTTTAGAAACTCACAATTTTTTAAATAAAATGACAATATAACAAATCTTTTGTGTAATTCCAAAGGATTGGAAACAGTGAGGTCGAAAAGAAACAGATATACATCAACTGGATGTGATCTTATTTGCGAGGAGAGCACAGAAATCAATTTGAGAGAGCAATGGCAGGAATTAATTGCACATCAATTTCAACAAGCTTGCGTCAATTATTGCGGCTGCACTTCAGAGGTATGAGTTTGCAGATGAACAATAACATCGACGATTCCGTTTATGTGATATAATGGAATATTATAACACGCTTGTAATGCTTCCGTTGATGTTCTTTTTAAAAGGATTCGCGTGTCCGTTCTCATCTAAAAGCACGGACGAGGTCAGCGAGAGTCCGAGATTACGTGAATTCAGGAAAAAATTGCGCGAACGCGCTCCCATAGGTATGTTTATATCGCACGCAACAGCCCATAGCCCATCATACGATTCTCTTCTGGATTACCGTGCAAATATTTAAAAGAGTAAAAAAATTACATTTCCAACGTGACAGAAAAATTGGACGAGTTGGAGGAGGGCAAGCATCCTTATCAGGAGAAGGAACCCTTGAAACCGTTCCCGGACAACACGAATCCGGAAACGGGCGAAGTCGGGGGCCCGCGCGGACCGGAACCGACTCGTTACGGCGACTGGGAGAGAAAAGGCCGCGTGACGGACTTCTGAATCATCCCTGTACAGAAATAGGCATTCCTGTATAGGAATAGAAATTCGTTTGTTAATAACAATTAGAAATTGTCCACTTCAAAACGTTAAATAATTAAAGCTATATTTTGAGATACGATTTTATAAAACTGCGCAATCTGTTATACTGCCTAATATATTTATATGCACACTGTTCACATTTATCAAACAAAACAGATCAGTGAGGGCTCATTGATTTTTTATTATTTTTGATTTATTCATTCAGATCCAGTGAAGAACTAAAGGCAAAGCCATTTATATGAAAGAATTACCGCAGATCAACGCTCACTAATCTGTTTTGTCTGCTGAATGTACTCATTGTGTACAGGGTGCATAAATGTACAATATTAGGCAGTATAACAGTAGAGAGAAGCATGAGAGCGAGAGTCATCTCGGCCTTTGGCCTTTTAAAGCCTTTTTAGGACCGTCAGAACCCCCGTACAGTAGCACACCATTTTTGACATGGCTATTATTAAAGTAGCTACATTTATTTTCTGACATTGTTCTGATAAAATCATAACATGAAAAATGGATGTGGTTCGAGTCTACATAATAATAGTACTTATTTAGCATATAATTCACGTTACATATACAGTATACAATTTATGTTACATATACTATAGAATCTCGGAAATATTCAGTCAACAAAATTATCGCATAGGTAAATTTATATCAAAATGTCGCATAAATTTAGACAATCATAACTCTGCGAAAAATGATCGTATCGAAAAGTTCTTTTTTTCATTTCTCAAGAGTAAAACTTGTACTTAAAGATGTTTTTGATCGATTTTGAATCCACCTTTCCTCCCATCCCTCTGCAATTTTTGAAAAGTAAGGACATGTTACGTCTCTAAAAAAATTGCATAATTTGACGCGAACGGAACGGAATTTTTGTCGTAAATATCAAAATAATTATCGTAACGTTTAAACTTTTCTGTACAAATTTAAAATAAAATACAGCTTTGTATGATTTTTTTTTTACGGAATACGGTATGTTAAAGTTATTGCATTTTTGTTCAATTACTGCCAGCATTAGCATTATCTGTATAGTGCGTATCAAAGGGAAGTTGCTGGTCGAATTTTGCGCATTGTGTGTATGTCATACTTTACACGAACAAAACCATAAAATTGTTTATGCAATCTAGTATATAATTTTATAATAATTTTCTATAATTTATTTAATATTTTATAATTTTATATTATGTTATAAGTATTACTTGATGTCTTTTATGTTGTATTTTATGTTTTTTTATATGCGTTGTATTAAATTATATATTTTTAGCACATTTACAAATTATATTTAAAAATAAATTAGTAACTTAATAAATAATAAAATAAATGTTTATACAACGCAAATAGGCCGATTGGAATCGGATTTAATGTGTTAAAGTAACGTATCTCTCATTCCCGCCAGCTCTGGTAGCACGAACACATTTTATTTATGGCTAAATATACTAACTCGAACCACATCCATTTTCGATGTTATGATTTTATCGGCAATATCAGAAAATGGATGTACTAGCGCTAGGTATATGAAGGTTCTGACTGTCCCACGTCAAAGGCCACTCTCGAAAATCGTAGAACTCGTAAAAGTAAAGAAAAAATTCTACCTGTACTCAGTAAATTAATAAAATAAATTCAAGTGTTACAAACAATGTTTTCTAAATAAATTAAAGTGCTGCGAACAATGTAAACATTTTCTAGTGTTATATATTTTTTGAAAAATCTTCTAATAACTCCGTCCATAAATTCTTGATGAGAAAAATTGAATGCGATGTTTTAATGCAACGCATAAATAAATAAATCTGTATCACAACAAATAACAGTTAATCTATATCTGGGCTGATATCGACTTTGCTATCGCGACGACAGTAAACATAGAACTTGCATCTGCGTCTAATTTCCGTGACGGTTTTCTCTTTAGTTTCATCAGTCTCGTTCAAATGCCTCCGCATATTTCTTATTCTGGCTGGTCAACTCTTGCAAAACGTGATGCCCTACGCTGTCGCTATAGCGTTCGCTCCTCATCGTGATGACAATTAATAAGAAACTTCATCCACTGTGGAAAGATTTGTGTCGCGAAAATATGATATATACTCTCACAATGAGTATCTTATATAATACTACAGAGATAACGAATAAAAATATGCACTCTTCTCGAATTTTATTCTTGGAATCTTCGATGCTCTTTGGAATCATTGAATGATTAATCAGAAAAAAAATCAAATTGCGCAATCTGCAGCTAACAACTATGTACACGATAGTCTGTTGTTCTTGATAAAACTTACTGCTCATGAAAAAACTAACTTTTAAATTTTTTATAAGGTAGCACACTTAGCCTTTTAAATAAACTGCGTAAGAGCTAAAATTAATAGTTACATCACTGCTCACAAAATAAATAAGTTAAGACGCTTATATTTAAAGAAATAAAATGTATTACGTAAAACATTTTTTTAATTATAACCAAATATATGTATTAAATTTCTCTTTATTTATTTCCATAATTTGAGAATACAAAAAATTGTCATTAAAAACTATCGTACATACATCCACTCTTTTATGCTTTTGCATTATACTTCTGGCAAGATCATTTGCGTAAGGAAAAAGAAATGATTCTTTTTCTTTTTTAAACTCGTAAAGGGTGCGACCTGTATCCAATAAATTAATAAAATAAATTCAAGTGTGCTATAAATAATTTAAACGTTTTCTAGTGTTATTTATTATTTGAGAAATCTTCTAATTGCTCCCTCCATAAATTCGCACTTGATGAGAAGAATTGCACACGATGCCTTAATGCATATATACATATAAAAAGATAAATCTTTTTCGCAACGAATAACGGTTAATTCATATTGATATAGCGACTTTGCTATTACGACGATAATAAACACAGAAAATTACGCGCGATTTTAACGTAAGACGTAAGAATATAGATCTATTTGGCAATTAGTGTTTTGTCAACATATATTTATAGCTGAAATCATATTATACTTATAATATTATATGCAATGACTTTGCTATTGCGACGATAACAAACATAGAACTTGTATCTGCGAATTATGGAGGCAAAGTTTAACTCATGTCGCATAATTAAAAAAGACGAGGTCGACAGCATAATCTTCAAAATCTGTGTGTAATTTTCAAATAATTATTTTACAACAAAACAGTTTCAATAATTATATCATTCACAACAGATTTACAACAGATGGAGGATTAAAAAATCAGTGACAAAATTATTTATAATAATTGTTATTTTTGTCTTTAAAAAATGTACCAATTAAAAAAAGTTTTATCACTATCTTTTTTATAATATGTATCTTTGACATTTTTAATAAAATTATAACAAATATACTGAATACAATCTATCTTCATGTGGATAGTTATATATATATATATACCTATATATAATTATATATATATAATTATTATTATATTTACATATTATACATATAATAGCATATAGATTAGACATATAAAACAGATACATTAAAAAATGTATACAGAAATATATAATATTAAAAAAATGAACTGGATTCTTAATAAAAAGTGGAAAGAGATACATTTCTTGTTCGTGCACGTAACTTAGTATTATAAACGCACACTATTATCTTTCCTAAATATTTTATATTTTATCTGTTCTCTCGTATTATGCCACCGATAGAATCACCCTATGCAACAAAAAGTGAAAATATTTTTTTCCCAAAATTCCTAAAACAAAGACAATTTGACATTAAATTACAGTAATGTGATAATAAATACATTCAACCATATCTTAAGAGCAAATACTTGTTACCGAATCTGAATCCATTGCTCTAAAAAATATTATGTAGTGCATTATTCGATTTTATTATTCTCATTATTTATAATCCAGTCACGATTCTTTTCGACCAATTTCTTCCAATAATCTGCAAAAGTAAATGTTTATATTACATATATATATCGAATTAAATAATTATGTGAGTCATGTACTTCTCATGTACCTATTATATATTTTAGAATTCGGTGATTTCTTAGTTTTTATTGATTATATTATATAAACGATTGCTGTCAAAAGTTTATTTTTTCTTCGACTATAATTTTTACTATAATTACCAGTTAAATCCTGAATTGTATCACCAGTGCCGCCATACTCGATTGGCAAGATATCTTCTGGAATATCCTTAAAACAGCTCCGCAACATATGTGGATAGACGTGAAATCTCTTCTTCATTTTCTCCGTCAAGCAAGCTCTCACAATCTTGATAATACCATTGACAATTGTCGGTGCGTTGATATAGTTTAGAGACCGCATTCTTACAGGAAAGCAGCTCTGACACGCGTGTATTCCATTCCATATTAAATGGGGTGAAAATTGAGCTATGTGACGTACTGTTGATTGATCATGTCAACGAATATTGCGAAACCATATACGGATGCTATAGCGTTATTTCTCAACGTTAGCTCTAACAACGTCATAAAGATCTGATAAAATAATCGTCCGATAAAAAATAATAGGATATATTTTATCACAACAACATCAGAAATAGATCGTTACATCTGATTTCAATTTTTACCTTAATTAAGTCAGTCATTTTGTGTATTGTTGGATCATGTCGAAAACAGCGTACGATAAAAACCAATCTTCCTCGACTATCCGGTTTTCGCAGAGGCAAAACCAATCTAAAGGAAATATTTTAGAATCATTTGCAGAAGTCAATCTTATTTGTACAGCAAAGCATTTAATTGTACACGAATGTTTTTAATAAAATATTTTTGCTAAAATATAAAATAAAAGTAAATCATTTTTAAATTATATACTCACTTTTCACTTTAAATTAGATAATCTAAGTTATTTTCCAATATTAGAGTAGTAGAGAGATTTTACTTAAATTACACATTTATGAAAGTGGTTGTTACCCCAAATCAAGCATCTCCTGTAGTTCCGGTTGGAGCGGATCCTTATTCATGTACCATTCCGGTAAGGCGAATCGATGTTTGTAATAGTTTCGTATTCTGGTCTTAGTTTTCTCAAGGTTAAACTTGCCGACTCTCAAGAATTGCAAGATAAGGAAATTATCTGTATACAAATTAAGAGTTCTCTCCAAAAATGCTAAATCTATTAGATATTATCTATTAGATATTAGATAGAACTTATATAAGTATATGGACTGGCAATGTGCTATAGTTTCAGTAAAAGCAACGTTTGGAGAAGGTATAGGAGCGAGAAATGTATTATACTTTTTAGTAGTTTTTCTTTCTCAATGTGTCCAGAAATATACATTGTATATATTAATAAAACATATATGTATATGTATAACTCGTTGATCACGTACTATGACACAACCAATGCGAGCATAATAAAAATGTATCAATCAGAATATATTTGAGCGCGAAACGTATTTCTTGACACTTAAAAAGAGAAGAACGGAAACGACTGCTTCTATTGCTAGTCTGTAAGGTCTATGGGTATATACAAATTAAATTAAGTTTTTCTAAATGTGTATATAGAGCAACATGAATTTTAAGGAATGTCTAATATCTAAATGCATAAGCACATTTTTTTGCTTTTTCGATTAGGAGAAGAAATAAGAAGTGTATTGTCGGAAAGAAAAAATAAATAAATCAAATAATCAAAAATCTATTCAGAAAATGACAAAATGCAATAAGACGATCATGAAATTTTTCATATAAATCTTTTTATCGAATTTTTATTTTTTTCTCATTTTTAATTATCGAGATTTTTAAACTGCTGCTTTTGTTTTCAATGATAAAGTCAGACACTTTATTACACTATTCTTCGTCTTTTCTTATATTGTGCAATCAAGAATGAACGCAACAAGATAAGCATTAGATAAGATTGACAGGCTGCGTTCCGTTTTAACGCTCACGCGCTGTGAACGTAATTCGTTTCTGCTTAACATTTAATAAATAACAAGGATAAATGATTTCGTTAGCGCTATAAGCGCCAAAAGCGTGAATATGGAACGCGGCCTTAACATATATGTAACACTGATAAAGGCAGTTAAGCGTATTATTGCTCCTCTGGCAAATGAAAATAAATTGAAATGGATAGAAATTTAAAGGAATTCATTTCAACATTTCCGCTCGAATTGGCGGATTCTGATTTTTCGAATATATTTGAATCCAAAAATAATAAGTCAATCGAAAAACTGTTCAGAAACTAGCGAAATGCAATAGGACAATCATAAACGTTTTCATGAATTTTTTTATCGATCAGTCTCTGTTTCTTCGTGATTTATTTTTATTTAGAGTGATTTTTTGACCGCTACTTTTATTTTTAATGAAGAAGTCAGACACTTGGTTATATTATTTTTCGTTTTTCCTTTTATTTTGAGATTAAGAATGAATTCAACAAGATATAAGCATCGGAGTTAACAACACAATTAATTACAATTAAGCTAGATTATTGCTCCAAAAGTAATAAATCGTAATTAAATTTTTCATTGAATGATATTTCAGTGCGTTGGACCACTATTATTTTTACCGATTTGTATGCGCAATTCGTCCTCGATCCAACATCTAATTTCCGCGATAGCGTCCTCTCTATTTTCATCGGTTTCATTCAAATGTTCCGCCACGTACTTCTTGTCTTCGCTGGTCAATTCTTGCACACCGTGCATTACGCTGTCACCATAATTACATTCGTTCACCATCGTAATGAAAATGCATAAGAAGCTTCGACCACTGCAGATGAATTCTTGTCGCGGAGATACGATATACTGTCACGCGCGAAGTTTATACGTGCTAGCTTTGGAATCATCGAATAACCAGTAGATCAGCACTAAAAGTGATTGCGCCATCTGCAGCTGCAAACAGCGATGATGACATGTATCCGCAGTAAACTATATAGTTCAACAGCCTTGACGGAACAATTTATTCTCGAGCTGCAGCAATCATGAAGAGAATTTAACTTCTTTATAAAGTAACACGCTTAGCCTTTTAAATAAGTGTACATAAGCTTAAATTATATATTAAAAGAAATTATACTTATATTGCTCCCAAAATATAGGGGCTGTCCATATATTACGTAGCATATGACTAGGGGGAGGGGGGGGGTCAGTCAAATTCTGACAAATGATTACATGGGGAAGGGTCGTACATATTCTTACGTAAGATTTTTCATGTCTACTGTTGTCATGAAAAACGAGCAATATTAACTTTACATCGAAAATAATCGGGAAAATCTTACATAATTAGAGAGGGGGGGGTTTAGAAATTCTGACATTTGCTTGGGGGAGAGGGAGAGGATCAAAAGTAGCCAAAAATATGTTTACGTAATACATGAACCCCATATGTATAAAATAAATAAATCCAAACGTCTAACGTTTATGTTTAAAGAGATAAAATGTTTTACGCAAAACATTTTCTAAATTACAACCGTACAGATAAAATTTGTCTTTTCTTCTATTCACATAATTTGAGAATTTTTATTGAAAATATTTGTACATCGGTACTTCTGCTTTATGCTCCTGCTGGCAAGGATCTTTTGCGTAAAGAAAGAGTTAGAGAAGTAAATAAATAATTCATTATTTTCTGAATTTTATAAAAATCAAGAGAAAATGCAACTTGTATTCGATAAAATAAAATCAAGTATGTTTTAAATAAAATTAATGTTTTGATGTAAAATAGTATAGAAAAATAAAACTGTTTTGCAGCAACTATAGCGTTTTATTTATTATTGATATGATAGCAGAATAATATCTATATTTGAAAGCTGAGTCATACTCAATGAGAAATGGCCATCAATTTGACGTCGATCATTTCTTACTGGGTATTATGTAATGTCTTTACCATCATAAAAGATTTCACAATTCTAATAATAACATCGAAAAAATATCGGCACATTTGATAATGTTTATATGAAAAAACCTAATGAGATATGGTGAAAGTTCAAAGTTTAAAACAATTAGATTAGAAAATATCAAATGCGGTCTAAAGCGGATCTTGATGCTTAGTAATAATATTTTTGTGTAAATCTTAAAATTTCCAGTTCAGACATACTGCGTGTCAAATATTTGTCGGTTTTGAAACGTCCTGGCTGAAGGAATATTTTTTGCAATAAGTTATTTACAGGAGAAATAATTATTAAGAATAAGATGCTCATTAGCATAGAAAATTATTAAATTGCTTGTCAATTTAATTGTGACATTAAATTGACAAGTGACGTATGTACGTAATCCGAATTCAGTGTGCGGCTGTGTTTCAAAACCGACAAATATTCGGTAGACAGCTTGTGCCTGAATAAAAAATAATAAGATTCGCGCAAAAATTATTACCAAGTATCAAGATCCGCTTTAAAGCGCATTTGGCCTTTTATAATCTTGATTTAATTAATTAATTAATTAATACATATATACATATATATATATATATATATATATATACATATGTACGTATATATGTATATGAATAACATAGAGTACATAAACTAATCAATATAAATATCTATTGTTTTATTGATGTTATTGAACTTTTATCGTTCATTAGATGTAAACCAAAGATAAAATGAATCCAACTCTACAAAGACGTAATAAGTCTTAACCCAGACAGAACAGATTGATCCATAGACGTCAATTCGACGTCTATGGACCAATCTGTTCTGCCTAAGAAACCGTAAGAAATTAGTCCATTATAGTCGATTATTTTTCTGACATTCACAAAACATTGTTTATAATATGTATCTTTAACATTTTAAATAAAATCATAAAATAAATGCGAAATACAATTTGTCATGTGGATGCGAATATACCATAGTTGCGTATATTATTATTATATTTATACATTATACTTTTAATCGCATATTGATTCTACACATAAAATAAGTATTGGAACATATAAAGTAAAAAATAAAGAAACATACAAAGTAAAAAGAAAACCAAATTTTTTTGTTCACATTTATGTAACTTAATATAAATATAATAATATTATTATATAATATTATTATATTTATTTATTTATTATTATATTTATATAATATTATTATATAATATAAATATAATAATAATATTACCTTTTCTAAAAAAATTTTGTATTTTATCCATATTCTTGTAATGTTCTTCTATATTATATACATTTATATCACCTATAGAATCACCTTATTATGCAGTAAAAAAGAAAGGAAGATAATTTTTTGTCGCAAAACTCACAAAACAAACTTTGACATATGTATATTATAATAAAATAAGTACCACAGATTTCTATGGAATAGATCACTAACATGCTATAGTTTGTTACCACTGTTATCAGTTGTGTTGAAACCAGGCGCCATATTTATCTAGTAATCACATACAGTGCTTTATGAAGTAGTGTTAGTGTACATTTAATAATATTTGTTAAAATTTTAACGTTTTGGAATGTAACCCATTACTGGCTAAAGACGGCTACTACCCTCTTTCCTAAATTATTTGGCTTTACTTCATTTCTCGGAGCTAGCAATCTGTGATAAGTACATCCAAGCTAAGGTCCTAAGAGCAAATATTTGTTGCCAATTCTAAATCCACTGCTTCAAAATGTTATTCGATTTTGTCATTCTCATCATTCATAAGCCAGTCACGATTCTCTTCGCTCACTTTCTTCCAATAATCTGCAGAAGTAAATATTTATGTTACATATATTGAATTAAATAAATTATACAGAGTGTCTCATACTCAATGGTACAGCGCTTGTGAGGAGATAGTATGGACCAAACTGAACAAAAAAGTCTTCTACCATTTTGCGATCTTCGCAATAGTTATCGAGATACTAATCATTAAAAAAAAATTTACGCCAAGTAGATCGGAAGAGCACACG